GCGTTCGCGGGACAGCACTGGCAAAATCTTCCAACTGAACCATAGCTAAGGTTTATCCAAAAAAGTCGCTAGGTTTGTCAGTATGAATATTTTATGGAAAAAAGCCGCTAAAAGGGGTCCGAAAGTTGCTAAATCTAGTGCTAAATTTGCGCTTGTGTGTGTGTGTGAGACGCGGGAGCTGATGGCAGGGGGCGGTGGATATTTGTGGTGGTCAATGTGGATATTGTGGATGAGTTCTTCTGTGTCATCACGTTCTATTAGTTCTACAGCTTCAGTTTCGGAACTTTCACGCTTAGTAACACATACAGCTGTTCCCTCACCACAGTGCACCAGTGAAAAGGGACCCCTTTCAAACAGTGTCGCGCTCCGAACGTTGTTTAAGCGACATACTGGTATTGCGGTATTTAAAAAATTCATATCATAACAAAAATAAACACCGGTATTCGGTATGAACCACTATACCGCCCAGCACTACAGTCCTCCACAAAATGCGCTGCACACATCTGAATATTTGGGTTGAACTGTTCTGGAACAGTGTTGTAAATACAATTTAACCACTGATTTTTAGTCGTGTCCTCTTTTGGAAGGCCAAACAAAGTATTTTCGCTTTCGCAACGAAACACACAGCGTCTTCACTCCAAAGAGAAAGGAGAACTTGAAATCGCATCATATGACCCCTTTAAAAACAGCATGATGCTGACTTTTAGAGTTAGTTTACCCATTAAGAATAGCTTTTGTCTCAAGAACATACTAACAGATGCATCAAGGTCCTGTTGTACTTCATACTTTCTTTAGGAGACCGCTAGAAGACTATAATGAAATATAAATATAATTTTTGCTTTGTTTGCTATCTAAACCACCTCAGTCCTCTGCTGTCCAAACTAAAAGTTCACCGTTCTCTCATAGAGGACACACTTGAACCAACGACTGAAGTGACCATCCCAAAGCCTGTTTTTGAAGACTCCGAACCCAAGCCCTCCTTTGATAAAGATGTGCCATTGGGTATGACCCTCCACACTAAACTACAGCTGTGCCGCTCTACTTCCCTGTACTGTCATGTCTGTTGCTCAGCTTCATAGGGCCCATTCCCTTGATCCCATTACTCCCTATTACGCTACTGATTTGACTTTCATTTTGGACACAGCTTTGATTCATTTCCCAAGAATGCAATGCAACTACATAGTATGAATCAAATTCAATTTTCTGCATAATTATCAGTGAAATGATTCATTAAAGAACTGGCACTTGAATGTTTTTTGCAGTGAAAGCCAGTCTCTCATATTTCTCATGGACAAATGAGAGTGCTAGATACTTAGCCATTTATCGTCCACACATGCTGCTTTTATCCTGTTACTATGCTTTGATTTCCAACGGACGGCTCTTCCAGGTGGTTTTGCAGTTTTAATTAATGCCTATTAACAAACATTTTTTCACTTATAATTTTCCCAAGTCCCGGCTATATGGTTCCCACGGTCATGGAAAATATGGAAAAATCTGAGAATTTGAAAGTGGCTTGGAAAAGTAATACAACTTTAAATGTCATAGAAATTATATAACAAATTTATAGTGACAATACATTTCCCTGATTATGCTATTTATGGAGAAAGCCAAATCCTCCATTGAGCCACGTTCAAACCTCTTGTGTTTTTACAAACCGACTAATGTACAAATAGAAATCATTGATGAAATCTCTATAGAATTATTTAAAAAAAACATATGTAATAATAATTAACAATAGGAAAAGTCATGGTATAAACAGTGGGATCCTTAACACTAACGTAAGAATTTATGCTTATAACAAGTTTCCAAAAATAAATGCTTATTACACTTTTTTGGACCAGCAATAAGCCTGGAAGCTCTCAGGAGTGACCTTGCCATGTTCTTTGAAGCTTTTTGGAAACTTGAGTTGAGTAGTTTTTCGCTGATGCTGTGATATGCTGATGTAAAGCAGCACTGAAAAAATTCACTGAAAGCTAATTGCATGCCTTCAAGGTTGCAAAATGCAGTAGCAAAAGGAAGTAGTGTTCCTGAGCAACGTAACTATCTCTTTAAATGATTCAAGGACAATAAAAGCCCAGAATACTTGTCATAGAGCAATTAGGCAGGCCTACTCTACCCTTCCTTTTGCATAAGAGAATAATGTAAGTTCTGGGCAGGGTGAGTACTAGACTAAATAGTAGTGCCCAGAGCATCCATTTTGTGTTTTACATGGTGAATCAGTAAGTGAGTAAATGAAATAAGCACTAGAATTGTTAATGGCTTAGATAGATGTACCTGTCTGGTGCCGTGACCCGGACATATAGGCTGTATTAATAATAAAGGAATTATTTGAAGAATTATTGCTATTATTAAATCAAAAGAGTTAATAACAGCTCTAATTATTATTATTATTATTATAGAATATTGCAGTGTTAATATATTTATGTTCGAAACGCTTCATTGTCAAATGCCAAAACTTGTAACAGCCAAAAATATTTACACTTGCATGAATTAAAAAATGGGAAATCAAAATGCTGTACTTTACACTACAGAAGCCTTCACATGTTCTTCACACACCTGAGTTTATTTGGAGCAATCACATAACAATACTTCTCACAAAAGAGAGATATAATAATGCACATTTAATGGAATTCTGTAGTAGTTTAATTTATTTTAATTGCACTATATAAATTATAATTTATAGTTTACAGTAATTGCACAAATGAATATATTTGCACACAATATAATAATAATAATATAAATAATCACACACACACACAAAACACAATAAGACCACCTTCTGCCATTACATAGGATGCACAGTATAATTACCTCACAAAAGTTCAAGGTCTGAGCGAATGGACTTCAAGACAAGCTTCATTTATCATTTACTTCCCAGAACCACAAACTCATTGATCTTGTCAGAGAATTAGCAGTCTAGTTGAGACAAAGGCATTAAGATGGCGTTACACATGTTGTATGCTGTGGTTCTATGAAGTTGGGAGTGATGTAAATGTATTAGACTACCATTAGCCATCAGCTGAATATTTCATTTTAAAGAACATGTTGCTGATGTTTGCAGTACGGCTGAAATGGGTCTGCAACTTTAATGGCTACTAAGTTCACTTTACATAGCTCCTTGCTTGTTATGAACTGCCAGAGAGATCAAATGCCTATAAAGTCATTCATAATGTAGACTTTCTCCATTCATTTCATATGATAAACCCATTTTACTTTAAAGCTATAGAGGAAGGGTTAACTTAAAAATATATATTTTTCTTTGCTTCCTGTGATTTATAGGTTGATAAGCAGTGTGCTTGTCTGACACCCATCGAGGACATAAAATCAGCATATTTACAAGGCATTTTATTAGCAAAATTACTTGTAAAAAGATCAGTTCACCAACCAAACTGGGCAAAAGAATCCCAAAGCTGCTGTTAATGTTCTCCGTATCTCATCTGTTCTTTTGACTTGCTTCCATGTGATCACACAACTTTGACTGGTCTGGAGGGACAGCAGGAGCTGGAGAAAGTATGGTGGGCTCACCACCCCCTTATCCCCCTGCAATGTAAAAGTTCAGAGAATTTACATCTAAACAAACATGGGCTCATATACCACCACAATTTCATTTCATTGCTTGCACATACATGCAAAAATCAAATAAGAGATCTTAATGGGAACCACTTCTATATTCTTTCTAATTAAATCTGTTTATATTGGCTCTATCTTGCACCACTGTATCTAAGTAATGAAAAGTCTTGAGAATAACAAGGCTTTCAATTAAAACTATAATTGAATGCCTTAAAAGTCCTTCAAATCCATTCACAGCACAATGTGAAACATATGATTTACTGCTCAGATCAGATCCAGAAGGTTCTATCCGTGCATTAAATGATACTTGCTAATGGACAATGCACCAATTCATTGCTTCACTGGTCATTTTGCTTTACACACTGAAGCTCACAGAGATGTTGTGGGTCATTGTGGATATTGTCTGATTGGCCAGTTGATACTGTTATTTATGGTTTTGATTGTTTTTGTTGTGATTGAATGAGTGAAGAGGCACTTTTATAAGCACTGATCCCATAACCCCTTGACCCTATTGTACTGACCCTCTCCTTTTGCCACTGTAGTTACCTTTTTTTTTTTTAAAAGTACAAACCATGTTGTAATGTACTGCTTGCTAATTTACATCAATTTTGTAAAAGTGCCTTTAACTCAAAGTATAGTGTGTAAAAACTAATTTTTGGACTGTTTAACTTGACATGAAAACAGAAACTTGTGTTTTGTGTTGTGGTTGAGCCCCTTATGTGGTTCTGTGCTTTTAGTTCCTTTCAGTTCCTTGATTCCTTTTCTTTTTCTGCTTCTAATGTTAACTGTGGAGAGAGGGTGGTTGAGTGTTGCTAATTCTGCAGTGTTGTCTGTGGCTGTTCCCATTATTCTGCCTTCCACGTCATCAGAAGAGTTAACACCCGGAAGCCCGCCCGAGAGTGGCCGGAGCAGTGCGGCATCAGTGGATGGGGAGGGAGAGCGAGAGAATGGGGAAAAGGAGAGCTCTGTCAGCCCAAGAGAGTCTCCAATGTCTCCACATCCACTACCGACAACTCTAGCTGATGATTTGGGTTCAGGGATCACGGGCTTTGATAGCCAGGTGAAGAGGAGTCCCTCAGAAAAAATGACTGACCATCATAGTGCTAAAGTACAAACCATGTTGTAATGTACTGCTTGCTAATTTACATCAATTTTGTAAAAGTGCCTTTAACTCACAAGTATAGTGTGTAAAAACTAATTTTTGGACTGTTTAACTTGACATGAAAACAGAAACTTGTGTTTTGTGTTGTGGTTGAGCCCCTTATGTGGTTCTGTGCTTTTAGTTCCTTTCAGTTCCTTGATTCCTTTTCTTTTTCTGCTTCTAATGTTAACTGTGGAGAGAGGGTGGTTGAGTGTTGCTAATTCTGCAGTGTTGTCTGTGGCTGTTCCCATTATTCTGCCTTCCACGTCATCAGAAGAGTTAACACCCGGAAGCCCGCCCGAGAGTGGCCGGAGCAGTGCGGCATCAGTGGATGGGGAGGGAGAGCGAGAGAATGGGGAAAAGGAGAGCTCTGTCAGCCCAAGAGAGTCTCCAATGTCTCCACATCCACTACCGACCACTCTTGCTGATGATTTGGGTTCAGGCATCACGGGTTTTGACAGCCAGATGAAGAGGAGTCCCTCAGAAACGATGACTGACCATCATAGTGCCAGTGGATCTGAGGAGGAGGAGAAAGAAGAAAATGAAATGGAGAAGTCTGGGAGAAGATTTTCTCCTGGTGTGGAAGAAGCTCCCAAAAGTGCTATCAACATAAAAGAGGATGAAGAAGAGGACAAAGTAGTAAGTGATGAAGAAAAGGAAGTAACTGGAGTTTCCTTGGTGCCCAGTTCTGTCACCCCAGACTTGTCAACCCAGAAAGACGACAACATTCATGACGAACATGAAACCCCTACTCATCTTCGCATGACCTCAGAGGAAGCTAAAAAACGTGGCCTATCATTTGACTACACAGAACCTCAGGATCCCGGTCATCAGGGTGGTCCTGTGGGCTGGGAATGCAGCTCTGACAAAACACCACCAGAAAGCAAGAGCCCCGACTCCTGCAGGGTGGATCCGGGATCACCTCTTTCTCCCAGTGCTGCTGCCGACCGTACCCAAGAGGAATCATCTCTAACAGACTTCCAAACTGATGCTCGGGGGGAAGAAGAGGAAGTAGAGTTACCAGAACCTGAACAAGAAGAGGAGGCTACCGCCGTTCCTCTGTCTTCTCAAGAAGTTGCTGCACCCAAGATGGAGCCTAAGGCAGAGGAACATAGAGAACCTGAAGAAGCAAAAGATATCAAGCAGGAGAAATATTTGGAGACGAGCGATGATGATCACATTGATACGGAGAAGGTCCAGTCTGTTGCCACACCTGAGCCTGTTGCCACTCCTGAGCCTGTTGCCACTCCTGAACCTGTTGCCAAAACCGAACCTGTTGCCGCCAAAGCTAAGGATGCCGTTAAGCCCAGCGCCCAAGTAATGCCCACAAAAGCACAAAGCAAAGCAGCTCCTGTCAAAGAATCTCCAGCCAAAAAAACAAAGAAACTCGTCACTTCAGTTGCTGCCACTCCTTCCCCTATCTCTGCTCCCAAACTTCAGAAAACTCCCTCTAAAGATGCTGCTCCGGCCAGAAAAGCAAGTGTCCCATCCAAAGGTCTGTTTTTCCGTTCTGTTCCTCCAAACTCCTCACAGATCTTTATTTCTCCTTCCCTTTTCTTCTTTTTAAAGTAGATCAGTAGAACTATGCAGTACCCTTTCTGAAAAGCGCACACTACGATAAGAGTGTTCGGTTGAAGAAACGGGCTGCTTGTAGCCACAAAATCTCTCTCTCTCTTGATCCTTTGTGCACTGTGTGTCTATCTCTTCTACTTCCCTCTCTGTGTGTGGTCAGTGTTATTTGGTCTTGTGTCTGTGACTAGCTACATATTCCATAAAATTTCAAAGATAAGCTGGAAGGCTTTACTTGAGGATAATTAACTAAAGAGTAAATAATTAGAAGAGCAAAAGAGGAAAATATATGGTCTTTTGTTTTTCATCGTCAGCTGACTCACCTAAAACCCCAGACCGTAGTGGTTGCAACAGCCCAGCCAGTCGATCCTCTACCCCTGGACAACAAGTGAAGAAAGTAGCGGTGGTGCGCACCCCTCCTAAATCACCTGGTTCATTGAGATCTCGCGCCCCGATTGCTCCTGTTGCACCCATGCCTGACCTGAAGAGCGTCAAGTCCAAGATCGGCTCCACTGAGAACATCAAATACCAACCTGGAGGCGGGAAGGTAATTCTGTCATGCCTGATTTTCAACTGGTAAAATCAAATGTCTGAAAACAAAGCCAGCTGGTTTGGATGCATTTATTGTGAAGTTGAAAGACTTTGATACAATAAAGCTCTAGGAGACAACTTTGACCCTGTCTGATTAAAGTAGGCCAATCATTTTTTTATGTGGACATTTGGATTATTTATATCTGAACCCCATTCTTTAGGTTCAGATATTTGACAGAAAAGCCCATAATAAAGTTCACTCCCGTTGGGGACTGTTAGTTAACCTTTTTCAGATTGTAAATTGGAAGTACGTCAACACAGAAAAGCAATTTTATGTCCTTTTTGACATAAAAAAAAACCTTTTTGCAGAGCCTGGGATCTGCAGCTCAACTCAAAGCATCAGATTAACACTCTTGACTCTCCTTGTCCTTTTCCAGGTGACTATTGTTCAGAAGAAGATCGACTTTTTCAATGTTCAGTCTAGATGTGGATCCAAAGACAATATCAAGCATGTTCCTGGTGGTGGTAATGTGAGTAACCGGTAGGGTTAGAACTCCTTGCTCTGAAAAATTGTATCGTTAGAAGCAGTTAACATTAGATATAGTTGTAAAATAGTGTAGAAAAAAGAGAAAAACAACCAAATATAGCATTATATTTCAGCTGTTTCTGATTAAAATAGGACCCTACACAGACATAATGTACATGAAATATCCTGTAAAAGGATTTGTGAATTGGAGCAGATACTTCAGGATATTTCCCACTTACATTCTACTTGATTTGTTTTGATTTACAGTCTGGAGAAGTTCACTCTAGTCACCAAATGTCAGAGCCAGTCTGCAGATTTGAGTTGTCAGACCCCATAGAAAATTGCGTAGTGTATGATGGTTACCAACTCCGATTTTTTAGCATCAGACTATAATTCCATCCAGTCGGAGGATTTCAAACATGTTTGATATTTTCAGCTGATTTTAGAACACGTTTTTATTTTTCACACGTCTCCAAGCAACAAGGTGCATGTTTCTGCGCGAGTTTGTTGTGATCGGAACAACATGAAAGTCTGGTAGGGTGTGATCCTTGTGTTTTAAAAAACTGTTCAGATTTTAAAAGTCGTGTAGTGGATTCCAGCCTTTAAACACCTCAAGCTTTGACTATGACTGCTGCATATTTCTAACAGACAGTTTTAAAAAGATAGTTCACCCAAAAATGAAAATTCTGTCATTAATTACTCATCCTCATGTTGTTCCAAACCCCCAAGACTTTAGTTCATCCTCAGAACACAATTTAAGATATTTTAATTTAAATCAGAGAGGTTTCTCTTTTCCTCCATTGACAGCCTAAGTAACTGACACTTAGAAGGCCCAGAAAGGTAGTAGAAACATCATGGAACTGGTCCATGTTACTTCAGTGGTTCAAAGCACTGTCTGTATATTCTGGTTTGAATAAGTAAGGCTGGGCAAAGAAATGCAAGTCCTCCTCAATTTCGAATTCTTCAGAGATTATTACAAATATTACAGCAGTGTTCCTCTTCCTCTGCTTTGCAAACAGTACAGCGCTTCCGGTACGGATTGTATCGTAAGAGCTGTGCTCTCGCCTCAACACAACATGCATGTGTCATGGTGCTCTCGGGGATGGGAGAAAAAGAAGAAGAAGCTCGTGTGAACGCACGTTGGAGATTGAAGTGAAGAAAATTGTGAAAGTGGTAGTTTTATTTTTTTGTGCACAAAAAGCTTTCACGTCGCTTCAGAAAATTACAGTTGAACCACTGGAGTAACATGGACCAGCTCCATGATGTTTTTATTACCTTTCTGGGCCTTCCAAGTGTCAGTTGCGTAGGCTGCATTTACACTAGTGCGTTTTTATTTGAAAACGCATAACTTTTGCTACGGTTACGCCTGTCATTTACACTACCCCCGCGTTTTCGACCCTCAAAAACGGAGACTTTCGAAAATGTTGCAGACCCCGTTTTAGTTTGAAAACTCAGAGGTTGCATTTCAGTGTAAACGGATCAAAATGGAGACTTTTGAAAACGATGGCGTGACTGCCCACATTCGCTCTGCGTATGCTTGACGACCATGTAAACAATAACATCATGCTCATTGTTGTACCTGCATGAATGGTCATGTGACATGTGTTTTCGGTTGTGTAGTGTAAACGGAGAACGTTTCTGAAATGCAGTAAAAATGCAAGTGTAGACGAGGATCGTTTTCATTTTAAAATGCCGTTTAAAAAAAAGGCTGTCAGTGGAGGAACAGAAACCTCTCTGATTTCATTTAAAATATCTTCAGTTCTGTTCTGAAGATGAACGAAAGTCTTAGGGCATTGAAACAACACGATGGTGAGTAATTAATGACAGATTTTTTGGGTGAACTATCCCTTTAAGTATGCAAAGCTTTCAAAGACAGTTCTGCACACTCAACATAAATAGTTACCTTTTGTAACTAATGAAACCCTGACACACATACCCACAGTCAAAGCTTTTAAGTAGCTCTCCATCAACAAGTCAAGTATTATCTGCTAAACACCCACACAGCCAAAAGACAGTATGAAATAATAGTTTTTAAACTGTTAGATTAAATTAAAATAGATTAAAATTCATTCACCTATTTTTAACTTACTACTGAGCCTGAACATCCAAGATGTAATAATCTAAATTATTACTTAATTGCTTATTTATTACTTATTATACATTTATTGTATTATAATCCAAATACAATAATCTTACATTTTAGCATATTAACCTTATGCTAGCACTTTATTTTACAGCCCTGTTCTACATGTACATGCTATGCACTTATTAAAGTGAATACAATAACTGGGTAATACAAACCCTGAAACTCATAATCTTAACCCATTTAGTTACCTTATATTACCCATTACTTTCTTAGGTAAGTACATTGTATGTATACATAAGTACATGTACTGTAAAAAAGTGCAGCCAATTTTATTAATATATTTTTAAGTTCCCGTTGATCTTTCAAGAGATTAAACAAAACAAATACAATGTGATCTGACTGATGGCTTTAGCTATGAGCTGTGCTATAAGGTGCCAGAGTTTTTTTTTTTAAGGTTTGGCTAGTCCAGGGACTGCGGCATGCCTGCACTGGCAATGCATTTGGGCAAGACATTCATCTAAATGCCTTTGCAAAAACTAGGTTAAATTCATTTGCCTGAATCCCCAGTGTTGGTATCTCCTCTTACCTGGTGTTCCTCCTGGTTCCTCTTGGTGATGCACCCGGATTGCTGACTGATGTTGCTGCGTTGCAGATGTGCTGCTGTGTAGACTGCATGCATGTACCATAAATTCCTCTGCAGGTGAAGATTGTGAAGGGGTCTCAGGTAGTCAGATATGCAGAAACAAAACTCCAAGGGATATGGATCTTCACTTGAGTGCTTGAAACTGAGCATGTGCATCATTACAGTGCTTGCAAGGCAAATTCAAATCCATTAATCTGTATTCAAATACCTAATTTTTCTTCCTCTCACACTTTTTTGCAACTCTTATCACCTTGAACTACTTAACAACTACTTACTCAATTCAGACATTGCTTTGTAGATAATTTCATCCTTAGGTGTGCTACTTTTTTTCTCTTCTATTCTGGATCATTTTACCAAAGATGCTGTTTTGTTGCCTTACAAGTGCTGGTATTGCCTTCAGAAGTAAATCTAGTTATATCTGAATTTCTCCTGAGACAGTAAATCAGATATAACATGCATTGTTGCATTACAGTCTCTTCCCTCTATAAGCCCTTGGGTGCCTTTGACTAAAATATTGAGTGAATCTCTTTTCTGGCTCAGTATTTGGGACAGAGAGGAACATTTCATGTCTTAATTCTTGTTTGAAAGGGTATTTACTCAATTCTAAATACCCTTCAAGACGTATTCAGATAGATTCAGACATATTGTGACGTCAACCCAGTCTATATGCACACACTTTACTCCTCCAAAATTGAAATACGTCACTCCATTACATTTGCATGAAGTGTGGGTATAGTAAATTGGATTTATATCTATTTTGTGGTGGCCTATACATGGAAGCAAGTTTCTTCTCTGTCCAATGAACCCTTTTTGTTGTGAATAATGGTCATTTTCCTACTCCAGATCATCAGCTCCTCAGGTGCCTGAGCATGCGGTTCATTTCCTTCCCAAATGCTCTGGTTGATAACTGACTCTATTTGTTCCTCTTGCTTCAGGTTCAGATAGTGCACAAAAAGATCGACCTAAGCAACGTCCAATCAAAGTGTGACTCCAAGGGCAACATTCATCACAAACCAGGTGAGATTTCAGTCAGATATGAAGAAAAATAGTATAAAAAATGCCATTAGGCATTTTTAGGCCAAACACGACAACCAACATTGCTTATTCATTGTTTATGCAAGTTTTATAATGTAAATTTTTTTACATTTTATTTACTGTACCTTATTGGAATGGAAGTGCCATCCCTGACTTTATTTTCACCTCCAGTAAACTAAAAACAAATGGGAAAGGTTTTATTTAAACAGAAGTTGTACACTTTTATCTGCATTTTAGGAGGTGGAAATGTGGAGATCAAATCTGAGAAGTTGGACTTCAAAGCCCAGTCAAAGGTTGGATCTCTGGAGAACATTGGACATGTTCCTAAGGGTGGACAGAAGAAGGTATGTTCTTGACTTTATTAAACAACGCCATGAGACACAAATGTGCAATACTATGTTGAATTATTTGTCATTTGGATGTAGAATTAATTCACAATAATACAAATGCGTAAGACAACGTGTTACAGTTTGACTGTTTTTATCTACTTTTATCTGCAATACTCACTTGAAAGTTTCCTTCATGTTAGATCTTGCTATGGTCAGCATGCTTCCTCCTGCTTGGCAGACTTCAATGTACTTCTTTTGCACATATTTTTGCCAACTTCTTTGAGATGCCTTTAAAAGATTTACTGTTCTGCACCTAATCTAGAGCAAATGTTATCCCGTGGTCCATTATTTATTTAAATGTTTATTTCATCCAAAATCTTAAACTTGGTCTGTATTTACTCGCTTCATGTTGTTCCAAACCTGCATGACTTTATGGCTTCCATGGAACACAAAAGGAGACGTTTAGCAGAATGTTTTGGCTCCTCTTCTCATTTAATGAAAGTGAATGGGGGCTGTCGGGCTTCAAAGACAGCCAGGACATGCAGAATTACTTTGTGTTCCACTAAAGGGAGAAAATCATATGACATGAGAGTGAGTAAATGAAAATATATGTAGCTTTATGAAGCCTTGCCTCATTAAATCTGAATTAATGTAGTCTCAATACACAAAACCAAAGTCTATAAAGGTATTACATTTAAAGGTGCTGTATGTAGGATTGACACCGAGTGGGTGAACTAGGTGTTGCAGTCTAAATTCAAAATATTGGAGAGGGTCATTTTCACCCGGCCCCTCCTCCTCAGACTTGAAGTACAGCAGGTTGCCAAATTGACGACACCAACAGGAACGAGCGCACTTGACGATGAATGAAATGAAATACGCTGTGTTTTCCGCCAACTGGCAACCTGACAGTTGGGTAAACTGACAGTGGGCGGGTTTCACAAACCAAAACAGAGACCGACATTGCGGCCCGGAACACACATTTTCAAAGGAGAATAACTGACTGTAGCATTGTTTTTCAGATAAACAAGTATGTTAACTTAGCATGTTTCTTAAATATCTGCAAACATATTATGGTATTTTTATGCTTTAGTAGAGTCAAAAACGTACATACAGCACCTTTAATATTATAGGTTCTAATGAATTACTTATAATGATGTACGAAATGAATGAAGTAGGATGATTTTATATATGTAACAAATGAAATAAACGTACTGCAGAGGATTTACTGGATGATAGAAGCTGAGTGTCTTGCTCTCCTTCATCTTCTCTCTCTACTGAGCACATTTTCAATCATTTTTAAGATCACTGCATTTTCTAGTGCTCCCTTGCTTAGTGCTAACCATTCTTCCATTCAGTGATCTGCTGCTCCTGTGTTGTGCTGCTGCTTTCATGCGTTCACATTCAGAAACATTCAGGAATCAAGTAGGAGTGCTGCTCTGCGAACTATTTGCAGCACTTTAAAGATAAGAAGCTTATGTAAAATCATGGATCTGGATCTCAGATGAAAGTTTTTAATGAATCGGTAGAACTCTCATAGAATTCATTCAAATGTCATATACTTTAAGTTGGCCCACTTGTAAGGTTGAATCAACTTAATTGTTGTGAAATGGGAAGAATGCTTTATGGTGGGTGGTGACATGTTTAAATGTATTTATTTTTTAGTCTAGCACTAGATACAGGACATCATAATTATGGATTCACTTTAGTCTTCTGATCAAACAGTTTTTGCTCTTAACTTATTGATGGACATTATTATTTGATCCAAAGGAAGATGATGATAGAGTAGATCGGCACTCTTACTTGGAAATATTTGATAAGTGTTGAGACAGCTTCACCCCATCTCCCCATCTCCCAGCATTCCCTCTAGTGTGAGTGTGTTTTATCCCTTCATAACCTCATTTCATAATTTGCATCCCAACCCATTTTGTTTTGTTTACCCATAACCCTGTGAACTATGTGGCGTCCACGCTGTAGAGGGAGAAGGGGAAGGAAGCAGAGCCGCAGGCCGCAAATGCTTCCTCTAATGGGGACGCTGTTCACTCTAATGGTGGTGACATGACCTTTGACCTTCCCTCTGAAGGGAACAGTCTGGTTAAGTCAGAGGGCCTCAGTAAGTATATCACAGCAATTATGAAGTGTCAGTTTATAGTGTCATGGTTTTTATGTCCTTCTGTGCTAGGAATAATTTTGTCAGCACTGTAATAAGTCTTATTTCAATTCAATTGTGCATTATCTTTATAATAACTGTTTTTGTACATTTCTGGTCCCGCTCATATGAGCAAATATAACTATGCTTATTAAAATGGGTTTAAAAGGTATATGCAAATCACTATAAGAAGACTAGTGCTGCAGTTTATAAGTGTACATGCCCCACCTTACCATATTGCATCATGTTGTCCATGTAAGTCCACTAGAGGGCAGCCTTACTGTATGACCTTCAGCTGTCTCTGAAAATAAAACAGGGATAGCAGATTATACACTCAAAACCATGTTACTTTTTTTATACTTATTTTTTTTTAAAGAAATTAAAACTTTTATTCGTAAGGACATTAAATTGATCACAAGTGATAGTGAAGATGCTACAAACATATTTCAAATAAATGCCTTTTTTATTTGCTATCAAGTAATCCTAAATAAAAAAAAGCATGGTTTCCACAAAAAGCACACTTATAATAATAAAAATTATTTATAGGGCAGTACATCAGCATATTAGAATGACTTCTGAAGGATCATGTGACACTGAAGACTGGAGAAATGGCTGATAAAAATAAATTAAAATAAGAATCGTAATATTTCTAATATTACTGTTTTAGTGTGTATTTGATCAAACAAATGCAGCCTTGGTGATAAACTAAATAACAAAATCTTAGTAACCCCAAACAATACATACGACTTTTAATTTAATTTTATGCATGTATGTATTAACTTACAAAACCTGACAATTGTTCATATCCATCCGATTTAATCCGAATTTTTCTTCCTTCAGATTGAGAGCCACAAGCTAAATTTCCGAGAGCAAGCCAAAGCGCGCACCGACCACGGCGCTGATATCGTGTGCCGGTCCCCTGACATTTCCACGGATGGATCTCCCCGTCGCCTCAGCAACGTGTCTTCCTCCGGCAGCATCAACATGACCGACTCCCCACAGCTGTCCACGCTAGCTGATCAGGTGTCGGCCTCCCTCGCTAAACAAGGCCTGTGAGCTGCCAGCTGAAGCGTGTCGGCAATTGAAAAAAAGTTACAAATGTTTCTCCTTCAGTCCTTTCAAATAAGGTGCTTGTTGGATTTGTCCTAACTAAAGGTTGTCCCAGCGGCTTGTCTGCTTGTGAAATAATTTTTGCCTCCTGGCACGGAGAGACAGGTATTGATATTATTGGCTTAGTATCATCAAAAGAAAAAATTACAATTTAAAAGGAGCTGGTGGTGTATTGATCCAAATGGTCATTTACAGCACTGAGTAGCCTGATTTTGTTTGTTTAATACCCCGTTTTTTAAAAGAAACAACAATGACATTTGCTTTCAAAGCTGTATTTGCTTCGTTGCCTTATTGTGAATGTTTTTATTTACCATAACTTATGCACTCCTGTATTGACATGCAGCAGTAGGGAAGGCAAACATGCTACATGGTTTGGAAGGGTGCAGTTAATGATACTGGCTGTGAATTTGATAGGACAGAAACATTTCAAACGCTCTAAGGTAAAACTTGAGGCAATCAGGCTGTAGCGGACACATTTAACAGCAGTAGTGGCCTGCTATATCATTATTTAAATCAAACACATTAGCGATCACTATAGTGCATGTTTTGTTCCTTAATAAAAGCTGTTAAATTCACTAAACACCTCAATTGTGTGTTTGGTCCAAAATAAAACAGTAAAGATAAATCATTATTCAGATCTGTCTGGGATGCTGTAATTCTAATATCATAAATTAGATATTTCTGTACCAGACTTTGTCTGAATTCTTCAAAACGGCACATCCTCATTCATCACCACAGCAAATTCTCAAGGCTTATCTGTCCTCGATTGCACTGGAAGTTGCATCGCTGTATGAAATCTTCTGGCTTGGCCTCTAGTGACTCTTTTGACAGAGAAGAAAGCAAATGTCAATTTACAAAAATCATACAAAACTTTGAGATAAAGCTGTTGTAGTACAGGGCTCAACATTAAGGATTTTTGTCTACCTGGATAGTCGTTTACATTTTTAGCAACATATGTTGTCTAAAAATATACATTTTAATTTGAGATTGTCTTTTGAAAATGATTTAATGCAAGTAATTAGAAATGTAACGCCATGAAATCTATGACATTTGGCGTATAGCTTGTTGGAAAATATAAAAAAAAAAATTTATTTTATTTTTAGCGACATTTTGTCTTAAAAAATTAGAGATGATCTATTTACAATTATTTAATGCAAATAATAAAAAATGTAACTCCATGGAAGATTCATTTTAATGCGAAACATAAATGTCATATAACGCAAAACCTTACTAATAATATCTACTAATTAATGACAACCATTTCAGCGCATCCAATACATCGCTTGAAGTTTCAGTTTTCAAAACAAAAATGATTGCTATGATTAAGTTTTATGAGACCAAATATAAGATTTCAGGCCCCGGATCACATTGTCATCCTTATTGTTGAGCTCTGAAGTACCTTGCCCTGCACAAGCCCCATCAAACTGATATCACTCTGTACATTCTCTCCTTGTTTCCTTTAACTCATCTCTGTATGGTCACGATGCTTCTGTATTGATGGATTTCAGCTTCTGCGTATAAAATGCTGTTCCAAAGCATGTGTATGGACCAATGCAAAGGACATGAGAGGATTTCAAAGCACTCAATAAAATAACTAACATCATATCGGGAAATCTCATATTGGGAACAGACAGCTGAAAAGTGCCTCCCGGTGTCCATCAGCTGCATTTGAGAAAACAACTGTCAGTTTGAAAGATTCTCTGTGGTCTAAGATGGATTCAGTCATGTACAGAGTTGATTCCCAGAGCAGGACATTTAACACATTAGCCAAGCTCCCCTCAGTATTAAAGCCTTCAATATATCATCAATCCAAACCACAACGCTCACACGCTGCACATTCCCAGCATGCAATGGACTTCACCCATGGTCTTGAATATAGTAACCAGTCACCACATCCCCGTCCAACTGTTTAGAAAACTACCTTTACTAGAGCGTTGAACTCATCTTAAAACATGCAAAGAAAGAGGGGGAAAAAAGTGGAGGATGAAGCTACCTGCTAAAATCCAGGTTTATGTTGCACTCTTTTTTTCTAATAGTATTGTGTGGACGATGTTAAAGATGTACGAATGTGTTCAGATGATCTGATTTGGGTCTGACACTAAGCATTTTATTTAATATCCAGCTTTATGCTCATTTGAAAGTGAATGCACTGATTTGACAGAAGAGCTGCCTTTACACAAACTACATTACTCATTTAGATGTATATCTTGCATATATAATATTGGGTAAAATAGGGGGAAATTTGCATCCAGAATCCACAATATCAGTAAAGGACTTGCCTAGAGCCACATATATCTCACATGACCCTGTGAGAAGCTTTAGACGGACTGCTGTAAACCCAACACTGGCCGTCCTTTGAACAGCATGCTGCTAACATAAACCTGAGCATTTCGACGTGTGGGTTAAGCTGAAGAACAGAATTATCAGATCAAATGTTTAAAAATGGCACTGGATAAGGCCTTTTAAGTAATTCTACCCTTTAGCTGTTTCAGACGGTTCTGTAATCTGTTGACCGGTCGCGAGGTCTCTCTCTATCTCTCCTCCGTTGCATTTCCCGCCTCTGCTCTTCTCATCGCAGTTCTTCTTTCTAGCTCGAGAGTTGTGATCGTCTTTATCGTAATGTGTTTTATTAATTGGTTTACACTGATACTCCTTGCTGTAAACGTGAATTTGGAAATAAAGTCCGTATTAAACTGCTTTCTGTGTCCTTTGCTTTTGTAAGATTACTCTTGGTCGCCTTTTCCCCTTAGATTAAGTAATAATTACTTGCACGCAACGCGTTGTAAACACTAGATATTCTTAAAGGTACAATGTCATTTTTTTCTTAGGTAAAAATGTTGCACATGTGAGAAGAAAAAAACCCTTAGCCTATTAAAAAAATCTGTTTAAAATCATGAACACATCAGGAGCCAAATGAAAGCGGTTTTAATTTACATGGCGCGGGTCGCCTCGTGTTCAGACCACCTGACAAGACGAATACTGTGGAACGGAGTAAATGAACATCGGTTAACGGCGAATAGCACAATTTAAGTATTTGGTAACCAAATTCTTCCGAATTTGCGTGCTGCAGTATTATGGCCGCTAGGCGTCAGTATAAAGACTGTAAATAGCTGTGCCTTTCCAATTAACTCGAAGAACATGCCTGTAGGTTTTTTTTTTTTGGCTTTTATCTACCACCTATTATTGGTCTTTAGCTTTCTTTCACACGGTTTCTGGTAGTTTTACCCGAGTGAACCTTTATGTAGGTCATTACAGTGCAGATAAATGAGTTGCCACAACCTTTCTGCACTTACCTTTAACATTAGTGTGAACAATTGTAATGGGTTTCTAAAGGTTTCACATTATATAAAAACCACAAATGTATATAAATGTTAAAGAAACGCAAGGTCCAATCCAAATCCTTATTGATCCAAGCAGAATATCTGTAATGAATAAACTTAAGCTTCACACATGAATCGGATTGAAACAATTAATAGAACAGAAAGACAGAAGACATTTGAGTACAATATAATTCACTTTTAATTTGAGAAGCACAAACGTTGCCTGTCTGTCAGATCGGCCAATTATCCATAAACATGTTTTTTTTTTTCATGTTGCCTCTCCATAAAGAAAGTGTTAAATATTCTCATGTGTCTTCTCCCTAGACAATCAGGACAGCTACAGCCTGAACATCAAACACAGTAAAGAATCAAACAAGGTATGTACAAAATAAACTTTTTTTTGTTGTCGTTTTGTACAAACTATTACATGCTAAAGGATATACCAGACTCACCCAAACCTCATTCACCACATTGGAAATTCAAAGTATGAAAATAACTCACACGATACAATATTGGCTTTTGAAAGCTAGTCAAACCTTATGGTACATTTGCCTGATAAGTACACAGAACCCCACAGAAAGAGACATAAAACCATAATTAATGATATTAAGAATGAAAAGGGCGGTGGGTTTCTCAGCAGGAAATGGGACAGTCATGGATGGTCCCCTTACGATTTGCCACAACCTCAAAAGATGAGATTTCTCTGACACTATGATCGCTGTTACGCTCCAGTGAAAAGGAATATATTAAGGATTTCTGGTTTACATGACACCCCTTAAACGAGAACAAATGGCTACAATAGCTAGAAACGTGTGACGACGGATACAGAGAAGCTACTTATAAAAATCTTAAGTAACTGGTGTCCGCTATTAGACTTGTACATTCGTATTAGTTAAAATAACAGGAGGGAGTTGCAAGCAGTGACTCACTGACTGGGGAACTAACAGAAATCATTCCTCATCAAAACATGGCTGTGACCGACAGCAACTGAGGAGCCAAACAAATGAAAATCTGCCAAGTCCTTTCTTATCAAGCACTCCAGCTAACATTATTACTCGAACATCAAGTTACGGGATTCGACGATGGCTGTAGGTATTGCAGATTGTGTTTTATTAAACAAAGACAAAAAGTTTAGACCTGACCAATCAATGGAAGAGCTCCTTTAAACGGGGTTGGAGCTAAGTCAAAAGCAAAACCGAGTCAAGTGTCAGCACATTTCAGTTTATATTGGAGTGACTGCACGTTCTCTGGACTAACCAGATCATGCATAGCAACGTCAAGTGCTTCAAAATTCACACCCACATGAGAAATTACACGGTTTATTACACAATGATAAGTGTTACAGAGTTGCAGCGAGTGGAATCTAGTCTCAAATGTTAGCGTCCTGCGCATGTTTATTCAGGTGCTGATTGTAAGGTTACGGACAATTGTCGTGCAAGAGACCAATTAAGTGCTCTAATCAAACGGTGGCATTTAAAAAGCGCATGAGAGCAACTCGTCACTTTCGTTTTCTGGCTGCGATGAAGGCACCTGCTCTCTCCGTCACTTTGACAGAAGTGGGGCACAGACAAACCACGGTATTCACGAGAACATGGGACTGAAATCAAAACCAGATATTGGAATTTATGCAACTCCCAGGCATCAAATACGGGGAAGTTTGTCTGTTTAAAATAATAAGCAGGGAATGTGTAGAGAAAAAGAATTTAAAAATGAAGACTGTACCTTCATGCAAGTCTCTTGTAATCATTATTATTGGCTTTATTTTAACGTTTTATCACTCCAGTATAAACTGCAAGGCTGAACGAGTAATTTTATGTGGGATATTGGAAAAATCTGAAAGGGTACCACACACAATGCAAGCTGAGCCCCTCAGTACAACAGCATGCTAAGGGGGAAGTGCTCTTCAGCGATATACAATACGTTTCTGAGCTGCTTATTTTGGTTTAGCCCTCAAGCTAATTTCTTTCTTCCTTTTTATTTTTTTAAACATTTTTATTCTTCAGTGACCCAAAAGCAAGACTGAATTAAAACAGGTCTTAATATATATCGCCATACAATTCACTAAAAACCGTGAAAGAATTTACTGATGTTTGAATATCAAACAACAGGGACTTTCATTCATTTTATTTTTTCATCTACGTTGCTGCTGTTTCAGTTTCTGAAAGCTGGTGGGTGGGCAGAGTCTAGGCTTCATTGGTGAGTAGGTTTGGGTGGGTTGGTTTGTTTTTGCTTGGCGCCGTCATTGCCGAGAGGTGATGAAGGCCCAGCGTCAGACTCCGACTTGGATGATCTGCACCCGGACACCCGTCGAATGGTCCTACAGGGCCTCTCGCCAGCTGGACTGTGATGGATTTCGCTCTCCTGCTGTGGATCCACATCCAGAGGAAATGTCCGGCATTCCCATGGCTGTACCGGCTGGGGAGCCCGTAGGGGACAAACAGAGACACACTAAGTAAATATCTGCACACATAATAAGACAAATGGTGGTTCTGTATCGGGCGCCTACCATTTCCTCGTAGGTATCTGGGGTGGAGCAGCACGTGTCCTCGTTGGACAGCAGCCGTTGGGAGTCTCTGGAGCCGGGAGTGTGCAGGCCGGACAGCATCAGCATCTCTGGACTGACAGGGCTGGATGGAGATGCCACCGAGTTGTACTCATGCAGCAGGTGGAAATATGCCGTGTCTGGAGACGACGGCTGCGGCGTGGAGGGGTTTGTGCCACACAGCAAGGGGGTTGTCCGTCCATCCACAGACTTGTATGACCTGTGGAGAAAAAGATTAGCCCTTATCATCATGTGTTCAGACTCTGGTATGAATGCGGTGAATAAGTGTAAACACTGCCATCTGAACTTTGGTGCACACCAAACAAGAAAAGGTGGGTCTCAGACTGCTTCCAAACAATCTCTGGTGCAGTTTGACAAATATGAAGGCAACACGGACCAATGACATCTAAACTAACCAAAACCTATTACAGTTTGGAACAGGCATCGGAACTGCCATGCCCTTGAAGCAGATCTTTCTTTGTGCATCTGAGATGACGTTGTTGTAATGCTTTTTGCTTCAGTAAGTTCTCATTGTACTGTTGAGGTAAGTGAACAGCCTGGAGTTGTTTTTCACTACAATTATTCTCTCATGTTTAAAACTGTTAACGCGTTTGCCATCATGAAGTACAAAACACAAAGGAGAAACTGCAATTATTCCTAAAAAAGGGCAAAGAAAAGCAGTACAAGTTGTGTTCCCCCACCTGCTGCCCCTTCTCTTTGCAATGTTGCTGGCACTCCAACTCCATCGAGAGCGCTCCTGCTCCTCATACGAAAGGTAAAGCTGAGAGAATGTGACATCGGAGAGATCCTCAATCTGAGGGAATGGGAGAAAATTATTAAAAACTTACACCAGGCAGTATTCAGGGATGCAGGCAATTAAAAAATGACAAGGTAGTCCTAAAATTAAACATTAACAAGCCAAATCACAAATTACAGAATCACTGTGGCTGAGTGTAAACCCATTTATCAATAAGTGGTAATTTTCTTTTTTAACAGATAGAACTCCATGTGTGAAAATAAATAATTGTCTTTCACATCAAAAGATCATTAGTACAGGTGTTCCACAAGGCTGTGTCAGTTCACCCATTCTTTTTACACTTTTTTACAAATGAATGCTTAATTATGCATTCACAAAACAATATTTTTAAATATTCAGATGGCACAGCCATATTAAGTTTACTGTGTTCACGACAATATCAGCACCATCTACCAGTCAGAAATAAGCCGGTTTGTTGACTGGTGTGATAAAAATTAGTTAATAATAAATACAATGAAAACAGAGGAGATTGTATTTGACCCAAAATGCATAGGTGATCATCGCCCAGTCACAGACCTATAAGTATCTGGGCGTTTACATAGACAGTTCACTTGCATGGAAAACGCATATTGAACAGATTTTTATCATATTGGCAGCCATTTTAGCTCAAAACCTACTGAGCTGCCTACCAAGAAAGCATTTTGGGGCATCATCATCTTACATGCTTGTCTAGGTAGGCAGCTTACAGGCTTGAGAAACAGCCTAACTGTTGGGTGACCAACTGCATGGCCGTACCTCCACTGCATCATCCTCTTCAGATATTGGTTTTGCAAAAATGTCCACTTCTCGCCAACTACAATTAAAAAGCAAAGGGTAACAAATTTAGTAGGTAAAGAACAAATCTTTGAATATATAAGGCTAATGAACACAGGTATGGATAGACAGTTTGAGTCTCTGACCTTGGGGTAAGGATCTCTTTATACTGTAGTTTCTCCACTCGAGTGGTGGCGGCCACAGACATGGGGATGACGATGTTATTGATATCAAAGGGGCTCTCTCCTCTCCGTCGGCGAATAGTCTGAAAGAGTCACATACAGACCTAAGTAACTCATTCTCATGTTTACACAAACAGACTCGGCAGACTTTGAAGAACATCTTACGGCGGCACTGCTGTTGAGGTGAAGGGGTGTGGAGGTCTCGGAGATTGATGGCTGTCTCATCAGGAGGCTGTGGGTGGGCATGTTTAGAGCGGACAGAGATGGGCATGGACTCCCCATGTCCATATTCAACTTTGGAGCATCTATAGACAAATCAAAGACAGTGCTGAGTTACAGGACTGAACTCAATTGTGATTTAGAGGGAGAGGGAAGCAAATGTGACTGAAGCCAATAAAAGAAGGAATGAGAAAAAAAAGAAAAGAATGAACAACATACTCTCTGTACGGTCCAGCGAGGGTTCACGAGGTCTCTTGCGGCTGTGACTTCTGTCAAAAGAACTGCTCTGGCGGAAATGCTGGCGAGACTCATGTTTACTGGCACTGACTGGGATATCTAACTGATGCTGAGAGACCTTCTCTGAGCGCACCTTATGATGTGACAAACCTGAGAGAAATGGCAAACAGGAAGATAAACAGATGAAACAATTTGGTTTTTGCTTCATATTTCACTTTTTTTTTTTACACATATTTTGTTCAATTATTTACACTTGCACTTATTTTTTACATTTATTTTTAACTCCATTTTTAATTGTTACTGTTATCCGTTTTACATTTCTGTTTCAGTTACTCTGCATCCTTTGTCTTTGATAATATAATTTTTGTTTATCGATTTACATGTTTATTTCTACCTAATTTTAACTTCTCTTTTAATCTGTACTGTTTTCCATTTCCATTTTTAGTTTTTTCCCCTTCATAATTTGTGTGTTGTGTTCCACTTATTATTTTGGCCATTTTAAACAGTTTTTTCCCCCAATTAACTTAATTCAATTTTTAATCGTTAATGTTTTTCTTTCTTTGCCAGGTACTCTGTATACTTTTTCTTGTCTTATTTTACATAATTTATGTACAATGAATTGCATTATTATTTTGTTTTACCTTTATTTCTAACTCCATTTAAATATTCACTGTTATTCATTTGAATCTTTAAGTTTATTTTTAAGGTTATTACACACGCGTTAATTTGATCTTTATTTCATTTTTAATATGTAATATTATCCTTTTTTGTCACTATACTTTATTTTACAAAGTACATTATACTTTATTGTACATACTTTTGCTATATTTTTCTTGAACATCTGCTAAATGTTTTTGCAAAACGAATACATGATTGTCATGCCAAAATCTCTCAATAAATTGGATTAAATAATACACAACTACCAATAATAGTAATTTCTTTATATTACACATGACTCAACTCTACAATTCACAGCACTACATCAGGACGTCTTTCAGAGTTCAATAATTCATACATGGAATATGAAAGAAACAAATAGTCAGCAACTGTGCCTGGACTTATATGATGCCAGAAATAACTGCTGAGTCACTGCAATGAGCGTCTGGCAGAGAGCGGCTAATGACGGCCAGAAACTCACAGGTCACTTTAACTGCCCATAGGGGCAGTCATATTTAGACCAAATTTAGACTCTCCTAAAGGTGTGAGAATTTGCCTCCATTAGAGAAAACTCAGCTCCTGACATTTCAGATGCTGAGGAAGCAGGGGATTTGCACACAATTTTGTAGACTGGCCTAGATGTTAGCATGCACGATACAGTCATTCAGGGCACACAGGTTCGACTCCAGCTCCCTTAATTGCCTATTTCCTTTCTCTTTTCAATGTTAATAAAAGCCATTTAAAGCTAATAAATGAGGTCTTTTGGTGTCTTTAGTTGTTGTTTTCACACTTACGGACTGTGGAGAGGAGAGAGTTGGCGAGCTTGTGTTTGTCTTTGGATGACGCGTCTGAGATGCGGCTACCCAAACACAACTTATGCTTGAGCGAGATCTTCTTGATGGGCCTGATCTTCTCCAGAGGACGATTCTGCCAGTGTCCCTTCAGCACACGCTGCATATGGAGATTCATCATCACATCTGAGAGAGAAGAAGACAGAGTTAATCATCTGAAACAGTCTTGCATTGGCCGACATCAAGCCCACTAATTTTTCATGTCCAAAAAAACTTTTTTCTTGTTGAATATCCTGTTACGCTTTGAGAAACATCAGATAGTGAAAGTAAAATTGGTTGTGAACAGATTCAAGATGACTAAGACTTCCAGGGGATTTTTTTTGTTGATGCCATTTTTACAGATAAAAATGATAATACATACATAATAACCAATACGGCTGCACTTTAAGGTGCCCTTGTAAAAAAGTAATTATACATTTAAATACTGAGTAATATAAATTAACAACCTGTACTTACTATTAGGGATGCACCGATACCACTTTTTCCAGTACTCGCCCGATACAGATACTTCTATTTTTGGTACTTGCCGATACCGAGTACCGATATTAATATTTTCATTGCATTTGTAAATTTTTAAAATATTGGGTATAGAAACCAAAAGAGTATGTATAACGTTAGTTGGTTAACTTCATTTATCAAATAGATAGTCAAACCAAAATTCATTCAGACACCTTTAACATTTCTCACATTATCAGTGTATTCGTTATAAATTAGAAAATGGTAATACAATATGAGTTAAACAGTGTCAGAAGAAATTCAGCTCGATAATGTCAGATAACTTTGATAGAAAGGTATGTAATGGATTACAATAAACCAAAAATTATTCATACAGCTGTCAATATTTACACAACTATCAATACTTTGTCGGGTGACCCTTAGCCTTAATGACAGCCTGTAGTCTTCTGGGCATGCTGTCACCCAGCTTCATGCAAACCTCAACTTCCGGGTTTTTTTTCCCAGACTCGGTCTGAATAATTTTTGGTCCCAAATTTGTATAAATTTTACTGGTAGTCCACTGTATGAAGAATTTTTGGGTATAATATATCACAGTTTAGTTTATTTTGCTATCCTCACTTTACATAAATTAACTATAGTGTCCTGCACCCACTAGTAAAAAAAATACAAAAAATTATATCTGGTGTCTGAATAATTTTTGGTTTGACTGTATATCCTTCTGTTATTTTCACACTTAATTATGCCCATTAAAATGTATTTTACAAGCTTTTATTACTTTCACTCTTAATTTTTTTTTCTCTCTATGGTAGCCTACATCATCTTTAATTTAATAGCATTAGAGCTGCTCCATTGCAGCGGCTTAGTACTGTAATCACGTGATTTGCTGTAAAAATGCAGGGAACCACTCGTTATAAATCTCCTAACTGTGATATTTTCATAAATAGAAGTCGCGTTTTTTTCATCTGAAACATGCAGTGATTTATTTTCCAAAGTCACTCATATAATGCAGAAACACTCATGAAGCAAGCAAAACTGATGCTGAGAGACCTTCTCTGAGCGCACCTTATGATGTGACAAACCTGAGAGAAATGGCAAACAGGAAGATAAACAGATGAAACAATTTGGTTTTTGCTTCATATTTCCCTTTTTTTTTTTACACATATTTTGTTCAATTATTTACACTTGCACTTATTTTTTACATTTATTTTTAACTCCATTTTTAATTGTTACTGTTATCCGTTTTACATTTCTGTTTCAGTTACTCTGCATCCTTTGTCTTTGATAATATAATTTTTGTTTATCGATTTACATGTTTATTTCTACCTAATTTTAACTTCTCTTTTAATCTGTACTGTTTTCCATTTCCATTTTTAGTTTTTTCCCCTTCATAATTTGTGTGTTGTGTTCCACTTATTATTTTGGCCATTTTAAACAGTTTTTTCCCCCAATTAACTTAATTCAATTTTTAATCGTTAATGTTTTTCTTTCTTTGCCAGGTACTCTGTATACTTTTTCTTGTCTTATTTTACATAATTTATGTACAATGAATTGCATTATTATTTTGTTTTACCTTTATTTCTAACTCCATTTAAATATTCACTGTTATTCATTTGAATCTTTAAGTTTATTTTTAAGGTTATTACACACGCGTTAATTTGATCTTTATTTCATTTTTAATATGTAATATTATCCTTTTTTGTCACTATACTTTATTTTACAAAGTACATTATACTTTATTGTACATACTTTTGCTATATTTTTCTTGAACATCTGCTAAATGTTTTTGCAAAACGAATACATGATTGTCATGCCAAAATCTCTCAATAAATTGGATTAAATAATACACAACTACCAATAATAGTAATTTCTTTATATTACACATGACTCAACTCTACAATTCACAGCACTACATCAGGACGTCTTTCAGAGTTCAATAATTCATACATGGAATATGAAAGAAACAAATAGTCAGCAACTGTGCCTGGACTTATATGATGCCAGAAATAACTGCTGAGTCACTGCAATGAGCGTCTGGCAGAGAGCGGCTAATGACGGCCAGAAACTCACAGGTCACTTTAACTGCCCATAGGGGCAGTCATATTTAGACCAAATTTAGACTCTCCTAAAGGTGTGAGAATTTGCCTCCATTAGAGAAAACTCAGCTCCTGACATTTCAGATGCTGAGGAAGCAGGGGATTTGCACACAATTTTGTAGACTGGCCTAGATGTTAGCATGCACGATACAGTCATTCAGGGCACACAGGTTCGACTCCAGCTCCCTTAATTGCCTATTTCCTTTCTCTTTTCAATGTTAATAAAAGCCATTTAAAGCTAATAAATGAGGTCTTTTGGTGTCTTTAGTTGTTGTTTTCACACTTACGGACTGTGGAGAGGAGAGAGTTGGCGAGCTTGTGTTTGTCTTTGGATGACGCGTCTGAGATGCGGCTACCCAAACACAACTTATGCTTGAGCGAGATCTTCTTGATGGGCCTGATCTTCTCCAGAGGACGATTCTGCCAGTGTCCCTTCAGCACACGCTGCATATGGAGATTCATCATCACATCTGAGAGAGAAGACAGAGTTAATCATCTGAAACAGTCTTGCATTGGCCGACATCAAGCCCACTAATTTTTCATGTCCAAAAGAACTTTTTTCTTGTTGAATATCCTGTTACGCTTTGAGAAACATCAGATAGTGAAAGTAAAATTGGTTGTGAACAGATTCAAGATGACTAAGACTTCCAGGGGATTTTTTTTGTTGATGCCATTTTTACAGATAAAAATGATAATACATACATAATAACCAATACGGCTGCACTTTAAGGTGCCCTTGTAAAAAAGTAATTATACATTTAAATACTGAGTAATATAAATTAACAACCTGTACTTACTATTAGGGATGCACCGATACCACTTTTTCCAGTACTCGCCCGATACAGATACTTCTATTTTTGGTACTTGCCGATACCGAGTACCGATATTAATATTTTCATTGCATTTGTAAATTTTTAAAATATTGGGTATAGAAACCAAAAGAGTATGTATAACGTTAGTTGGTTAACTTCATTTATCAAATAGATAGTCAAACCAAAATTCATTCAGACACCTTTAACATTTCTCACATTATCAGTGTATTCGTTATAAATTAGAAAATGGTAATACAATATGAGTTAAACAGTGTCAGAAGAAATTCAGCTCGATAATGTCAGATAACTTTGATAGAAAGGTATGTAATGGATTACAATAAACCAAAAATTATTCATACAGCTGTCAATATTTACACAACTATCAATACTTTGTCGGGTGACCCTTAGCCTTAATGACAGCCTGTAGTCTTCTGGGCATGCTGTCAACCAGGTTCATGCAAACTTGAACTTCAATTTTTTCCCAGACTCGGTCTGAATAAATTTTGGTCCCAAATTTGTATACATTTTACTGGTAGTTCACTGTATGAAGAATTTTTGGGTATAATATATCACAGTTTAGTTTATTTTGCTATCCTCACTTTACATAAATTAACTATAGTGTCCTGCACCCACTAGTAAAAAAATATAAAAAATTACATCTGGTCTCTGAATAATTTTTGGTTTGACTGTATATC